ATCTGAGCAATAAAGATTATAGGGGAGAGGGCTTATATTTGGAGAAATGCATAACAAATTGAAATAACAAATTAATAAAATTGTGCTATTAGATTCACGATAGCTTAAGTGGTTAGAGCAGCGGCGTATTGAGCCGAAGGTCGAATCCCACTCCTTACATTTACTTTTTCATCTCAACCAAGACTTTAGATAAGTAGTAATAATTAATTGAAATAATTAAATAGGTCAATTGTGACCGCTAAACATATATATGTGTTCTTTATTCGATTTGATGGGACGAGAGGAGGAAATCATTTTGTGGCCATCTGTCCAATATTAAAATAATTTCGTATACTGTACTCGAGCAGATAAACTAAACTTTAAAGAATTTGTAGAGTAGGTATTCATAAGGCAAAATTTTGGATTAAACTAGTATAATTATTGTGTAATATAAGATTTACAAAGCTCTCTCTGAAGGCCCGGAAAAAGTATGATTTTGCTTGTAAGTATCGACGTTTCAATCAAGTCTGATTATCATTATTATCATCAATAAATAATTTCAAAAAGAGAGTCTCTAAATATGATTAAGTATGGGTAATGAAAAATGTTTATTACATGATGTTAATGGCTAGTCCCCTTGGGTCAGAAATTTGTCAAGAGGTGTTTCTTTTAAAATATATCGTTGAGGTAAGTTAGGCCAATGTATATCATAAAAAATAGGTACGATTGAGTAAAAAATGAAAAGGATGGTTAATGTTTACTTGTTGTATAGTTGTAGAAAATTTGCACAATATGATAAGCGATTATAGCTCGAAATTCGGAAAACTGGAAAATCAGTAGCAAAATGAGTAGAACCAGAATTCTCAATTCTCGATGTTTTTGGTGTGTTTTGATTAGTCGCTGTTTGTTTTATCGGTCGTGGCTCGTTGAAACATCGTGGAGGACAAGCCGATGCAAGCAGAAACCCAGAACGTAATTATTTACACTGCCTTTTCGTCATATTCAACTGCTACGTTAGCAATGGGCTCGGAATCCCGAGAATGCCAAGGAGGAAGTGCTTGAGTCAGCGGCGAGATTGCCATTGTCTTACGTCATTTCTCAGAAAGGATTTTGCGGATTGCACCAATACCTATGGAAGGAAGGAGAGCGACGTCGTCCCAAGGACCAAGGACCCGTGTCTCAACCGTTCAACGTCTTTCAACCGCCTTGAAAATGTTTCCGCCCGCCCTCCCACCTTTGACGGGTAGAACAGGTGCTCAACGAACTCAAAAAAACATCGCCTTCCTTTGCCATTTTCCCACAACTCGATCGCCATGTGAATTCCGTCCTCATATCGATATGCAAATTATCTTTCTCCCTTATCGCTCCACATCAAAAAATCCTTAAATCAAACTTTACCGATTGTGTACATCGTAAAAACAATTTAATTTAGTTGAAAATGAATTAAAGTCTTTTATGAAACTTTCCTCATCCCCGAAGCTATCTCACGATATAGATCTCTATACAATTTCACAATCTCAACTAATTAAACACTGCCGCTTCCTTTCATTGTGAACGAAATTCTGCACAAACGCCTCATGTTGCGGTCTTTTTATTGTAATAATTAAATTAGAAATATATTTCTCATATTCTAAGTACGTACGATCTCTGAATGAGGTCTTAGAAATGATGAAAGTCGGATGGAGTATGGGTTTGAAATTTCCAAAAGATAGTTTTACTCACTGTAGCATTAAACGCTCATTATCTGGTTGAAGTAGTTGCAATCACGTTCTAATTATAAAATAGAATTACAAACAATTTAAAAACCTTAGCTATGGTATGGTATGGTGATATGGATACTAGGAAGCGGGGTTTGTACTCCCCAGGCACTGTAGCCTTCTGGCTTATTGTACCTTCCTAGTTCCTTAGTTCAGTGCAATAGACTCAGTCCTTCTTCTTATCAGGTTATTGACTGTCGCTGCTGCAATTGCATTCCCTAGATTTTTTTCGATTGAGCTGTTGCATCGCATTCGAAGATGATGTGGGTGGCTGTTTCCTCCTCCTCATTGCATAATCTGCAGATGGGATCATCGTCGTATATGCCCATGTTGTGTAGATGTTTTCTCAAATGCCAGTGACCGGTTAGTAGTCCTACTACTCCTGTGAGTTTAGCCCTCTCCAATTACAGCAGTGAGTTTGCCAGTCTTGATGAGGGTTGTTTCTGCGATGGAGGATTCTATATTTGTTTTTGATATCCCAACTATAGGTTCGTGGCCTTGCAGATTCTCCTCTGGCCAGTCTGTCTGCTTTCTTGTTACCCAAAATTCCTCTGTGCCCTGGCACTCAAGATGGTTGTGTTTCCCCAGGTTTTAGGGATTTTGGATGCATTCACTGACTACTTTTGATGTGATTTTTTTACATGCTAATGCTTTAAGGGCTGCTTGGCTATCAGATCTTATGAGGATTTTTTTGCCAGTGAAACCTCTTTTAAGATTTTCCAGGTCACAAGCGTTGATGGCATTTATTTCTGCTTGAAAGCACGAAAAGTTTGATTGCTCGCTTTGGGCTCCGGTTCCTCGTTTGTTTTGGAGCCATCTGTATACTATATCGTTGCATGTGATGCTCTCCAGTGTTATTCCTCTCCTTTATAGTCCGTTGAGACTTTATAGGATGTTGTAAAGAATGTTTCCGGGAAACCTTTGCTAAAAGCAATGGATATCAAGATACATTTATCGACAGGTTTCTAATAAAAAGAATAAAAAATTAACTTTAAAAGAAGGAACAATCAAACCACACACCAGAAATGAATCTTTCGGTTTTCGTTGCTTGGCATATATTGGTGAACTATCAGAGAAAGTAGATCCAATTCTTAAACGTGGTTTTAGAGTAGCTTTTAGACGTATGCGTTCACTTCCTCCACACAGGACACATCCTCTCAAAACCTAAAGACAAGGTTGACAATTTAAGAAAAAGCGGGGCTTACAAACTCTTTGCAATGATTGCGATTTTAAATATAAGGTAAAGCGGCAGAGAAATTAAAACGAGAGTTAAAGAACATTTGCCTAAAGCGAACTAATTTTCTGAATTTAAGGACGATCTAAATGAAACAAAACATAATTTCAAGTTAAATTTGAGTACGACAGTGTTACAACAAAGGTAGGGAAGTAGATTGGTTAGAAAAGTTGGAAATAAAAATTGAAAAATTAAACGTGTAGAAAAATGAAGAAATAATGGAACGTCGCGGCGACAACCGACAAACTGAGTAAGAAATCTTCTGTCTGTTGGAAAATTATGAAGATCTTTGTTCCAGCTATACAAATCCCAATTCTGAGTGTGAAATTCACTTTCTAAGAAATGGAAATTTACGAATAGAATTTACAATCCTGTTTTGAGTAGATATATACAGGTTTAAAGCTAAATTTGAACCTACCTATTGTCTCTAGTTTGTACATTCCTTTTTTTCCAACATCACTTCTTAATTAATTATTGAGTTATATTTAAGATACGAAGTTGTAATATCAATTACGCTTGAGTGACAATTCCATCAGGGAATTATGTATGGGATAAAACAACGGTTCCAGCATCTCCTTAATAGAATTAGGCTGAAATTTCTTCCTTTGAGGCTCACGGAAAATAATACTGATTAATCGAGATAAAGATGAACATAACGTATACTTTTTTTTGAATTAGTAGCTTACCAGGAAGAAGGCCCGAGAAGGCCTGTTAAACGTAATCCTGATAGATCTTACACAAAGAACTTTTAGAAGTTAATCTCCCTTTAAATTTAGGCTTGTGGTCATTGTACGCAAAGATCGTGGTCTATTTTTATTATCAGAAGTCCTGACTAGAAGATGGTAGAGGTTTATTTAAATTAAGGATTGTACAGTTTAATAAAGGACTTCTCTGTTTAAAGGATACCTTCGCTTACAGGTCAATTCAGATGTATGTGCATGGAAAATTCATTTTCTATTTAAGGGACACTGGATAATAAAAAAAGGACGAGTGTGCTGTCTTTAAAACTACAGAAAAACTCTGAGTAGGCCAGATTAGTTTTTGAATTTTTATTAGGTAGCATTAACGGTCTCTGTGTGTTAAAACGACTTTTTAATTATGTTTACAATTTATTGATTCATTGTGTTTCATGAATTTGTCAACTTCTCCTCACCCTCAACCAGTCTTATTTCTTTCCTTTTGATTGAATATAAAAAATATATTTTGCATTGTATAAATCCACTTTTCCACATCCTAAATGTATTTGTTAAATGTAAACAATGTTTGTAAATCCCAGGCCCTGAAGATGATCTCAATAAAGATCGAAACGTTGGCACGATAAAGAAAATGTTTTTCTGAAACCTACATCACACCAGACCGCATCTCACGATTTCTGAATAATTTTCTTTCCAATATTGACTCATTTCATGATTTCAACGTTACTTCAGTTTTTTTAATGTTAACATAGTCCCGACCCGATAAAGATTCAATTTCAAAGAAAGAAAAAAGTTCGTTTTACGATAATTTTGGGAGGTCTAGTTTAAGAACATTATAGTTAAAGCATAGCAAAACTCTAGGAGGGAAAATGTTAAAAGATCATTGAAAATGTACATCTAAATTTACACCTGTTATTAAGTATCTGTAAATACTATGTATTATCTGATGGTAAACGTTTATTTCAAGACTCGAGAGGATACCTCCCGAAAGACAACAAAATAAGTGACACCATTTGTTTAGGTTTAAATAAACTTATCCATACAACGAAAAAGAATAAGAATCAAGAAATGACACCATGACTGTACTTAGCAGTTGATAGTAAGCAAGATAAATTAGCAATTGATAATTATTTATATATTGAATTGGCAAAAAGCAATATTAGCTGTTCGAGGTTAACACTCTTACTCTCCTTGGAATAAACCACGCGGGTCACAAATCGAGTCAAAGACCAACATTTCCAATTATTAAGGCCTGGCATTTCCTCAAGGATACATTTTAAACTAAAAACAATCAAATATACCAATAATATCAATTAATGTTTTTATCTTTTTCAGGATTTAGAGTTTCATGGGGTGATGAGGTTCTACTTCCAGGACTCGGGCCAAAAGGTGGCCACGAAGTGTATTAGGGTAGCTTCGGACGCCACGGCCCAGGTCGTCATAGAAACGCTCATCGAGAAATTCAGGCCTGACATGAGGATGCTCTCAGTACCAGAGTACGCCTTGTACGAAATACACGAAAACGGAGGTAAAAATCAAATATTTAAACTAAATAATAATTATACGCTAGGTGACACAATGACAGAACTAGGATTTAACGTTAACTATAATAAAGAAGTTCCATGATACCCATAAAAGAACCAAATAAACAAGCATTTAGAGTTTTCCCTAAACTTTATTCATTATAAGGTGGAAATATTACAAAAATATTAAGTGAGAAGAATATATAAAAAATTGTTTCATTAACTCAATTCTAATTCTAATTCACCTGGTAATTATTTACAGTTAGCGCTAACTATAAATTATTAATTTTCATGCGTCATTAATGACAAGATCATTGTTAATAATAATAATAATGACTCACCTCGTTAATTTTTAATAATGACTCAAATAAGTATTCCCCTTGATCTCCAGTAAGTTACAAAAGACGTAAAGTTGATTAAGGGGATTCTTCACGTTAAGTTTACATTACCAACTTAATTATTAAATTGATTTTACCAACTTCTTTGCAATCGAGTTGTCAGGAAGTAATGAAGAAAGAGCACTTTCGACTCTCATACCAAGATCCACGTGTCGTTATAAATTCCGGGAAAATGTGGCGTTAATAGTATATTAATTGTCAAATAGAATTAGTTAAAAATGAATATTGTGAACCTCGTTGACCGTGATTGTTAAGCTGGTCAGGGTCTCCCGTGGTTCCAATCTCGTCCTTCCTCTTGAAAATTTCCTGACCTCTTGTAGATATTAGATCACAAATTGTACTTCGGCCAAAGTGAAAACGCAAGGATATTTAAACAAAATAGTACCAGATTAAAATGGTATGAAGGTTGTTTTTTTATCACAAATAATAAAATTAAATTTTTTTCTCGCGATCTTCCTGTAAAAGTGCATCGTCGGGTTTAAAGGTTGAACGAAACGGTTCAGCTAATAGCATGGGAACAATAGATTTATTAACAGGAAACGACGTGAAAAAAAAGAATCTCTTCCCACGATTATACGTGTGTTCATCGGCTCGAACAGACGAATAGACGTCGGCGTGGTGCAGGGGTTTCGTTTCAGGCTTTCAACTAGCAAGTTCCAGCGGAATCTAAAGTCGAAGTTCACTACAGTCATAGTGTTCAATCGGCCCCAAAAATGATTCCAGACATTATAATCTGAGGTTTTCTGAGTGGCTGGACCCATTCCGGCTCACCTCGTTCCCCTCAGGACAATATTTTATTATAATTTTAAATGTTTTTCTATTTTAAGTTGCGTTGAGATGTTTTTCCATATTTTAAATTTTTACTACAACTTTTAATTCATTATTTCTTAATAGTACGTTTCTCCTTTTGACTAGAAAATAGTAGAAGCTGCCTGAGAAAAATGCTAAATTAGTTTTCTGTTTATAATTTATTGCTGCAGTCTTAATTCCAGAATTTCGAATTATTACACATTCCTATTCCGTTGTTTCCTGTTTTGAATAAAAATTAATAAATTAGTCATAAATAAAATGGGCATATGCGTCTCAAAGTTTTTTATTACTATTTCTCACACTCGCCCTCTCTCCCCCCTTTTTTCTCTCTCTCTCTCTCACACTCTCTCACTCCCTCCCCTATCATAGTTTTTGTATTACTATTTCTCTCTCCCTCCCCCTCCCTCTCTCTCTCTCTCTCTCTCTCTCTCTCTCTCTCTCTCTCTCTCTCTCTCTCTNTATACTCAAACACACGAACACAGACACCGTCTCTCTCTCTCTTCCTCTCTCTCTCTCTCTCTCTCTCTCTCTCTCTCTCTCTCTCGCTCTCTCTCTCTCGCTCTCTCTCCCTTCCTCCATCCCCCTTGTCCTCATATGCGTAATCATCTCTGATCATCCCGATCTGTAAATTGTGGTTAGTTCTAAGCAAATATCAAAACAGGACATCAGTTACAAAATAACATGCTGACATGAAAATAGCAAAACTCATCTGTTTTTATGAAAAAAAAAAAAAAAAATCAGATCAGGGCTTAATAGACTTCAGACTCATCATCTCGGAATTCATCCCCATACTTTTTGGATAAACAAATAGAATCTATGCTTGGCCAGATATTTAATTAATAATATTATTCAAGATTTTAATAAATCTGAACCTTTAATTAAAACATTTGAGTCGTTTTAAGTCTTAAACAAAACCCTGAACAAGAATTGATTTTCCATACTATAATCCCAGAACATTAATCAATTACACTCAACAAAATGATAATTACAATAAATGTTTTCAAAATATGTTTTTATTTTCAGATGAGAGGAGACTGGAACCGGAAGAAAAACCCCTGCTGGTGCAATTGAACTGGCATAAAGACGACAGAGAAGGAAGATTTCTTCTTAGGAGAATTGACGATAAAACAAATGTAAGATGTTCCTCTAATCAACTATTTGATGCTGGCAACAATTAAATAATAAAAGAGATAACTAAGATAAGAAGGAAGAATAAATTTTTAATTATTGTGGATTACTTTAAGAAATAAAGTGGCGATGTTGCATTATGGTTTCATTTGAATTTTATATTACTCTCTCTCTCTTTAGGAAAGAATAAATTTTATTGGATTGTTATTTTATTACTTTGGAACCAATCATCATATTAATTGATACTTTTTACTTCATTTTAGTTTTCATTACCTCTATTCTTTGTTATGTTTGTAGACCAATTTGTTTTTTGATCTCTTTAGTTTGTTGAAATTACTTGAATTTACTTTTTTGAGTTTACTGGAGTTGATAAATCCTTAATAGTTCAAATAATTGTCCACTTGTTATAAAATTTAACAAGATTGTTATAATGATTTTATTTTTTATTTTTGATGCAAACTATGGAGTTGAAAATAACGTGAGTTGAAATTAGAAAATTTACCGAGATAAAATGCACGTTTATAACTGTGTTTGTTTGTTAAACAATCTTGACTTGTGTTTTATTTGCAGATGCCAGAGGGAACGTTTCAGGAAGGCGGATCCAGTTTTAGGCGAAAACTGTCGAAGAGGGAGAAGAAACAACTCAAAAAGCAGGAGAAGCTCAACAGAGTGAAGAGCTCCGGCCTGCCCAATGAAGAGATCGATTCTGGTGTAGCTGAAAAACTTTATACAGGTGAGAGATTACAATGATTTATTGACATATATGTTAGTATCAAAAAATAACCTTGGACTTTATTTTGAGGCCTGGTTTTATCGTGTCTTCACTAAATAATGCATTTTCACATTAATTTAAAATTTTTACTCAGTCCTTGTGCATTTTACAAAAGTTGAGTTTATATCAAACAAAACATAATATAGTTAGATTTTTTGTAATTAACTTATTTTCAACTTATTCACTGACAATAAGTCATGCAGCATGTGTCAGTTGATTGGTTAGGTAATCAGTGCTAGCAGGTCAATATGTGTGTTAAGATCTCTGCTGGTGGTTTAAACCGTTTTCTTGGTGGAGATAATGATTTGTAACATACCAGGGTGCTCAGGATACTATTTTGAATATGTCGTGTCCTTGATGGTGGATCGTGCTTATTAATTAAACAATCCTTATAGAGTTGAGGATCTTGGGTAAAGTACCTTTTGATGAGCAATGGAAATCCATTGAACTTTATTCATATTACGATATGCGTTTTCTGTCTAATGCAGTTGTTTGCAATCTATTTTTATATTGGTGAAGTCTAAATTTACCAAGTCTGTCCACTTTAATCCACATTTGAATTCAGGAAAGGAGTTCAGATTGCAGATTAATTCAGTGCCTTTCTTCTTTATCCAATTGCCTCGACTGCAGGTGATGTTGGTGACCTTTAGTTGGACTTCTTGACACAGCTTAGATGTTGGGTGCCGCAAGTCCATATAAGCTTGACCTATTGACAAAGAAGAATTTTTAAGTGAATGGAACCTGAGCTAGTTTTGTAAATTCATCCTATTTATTCTTAATATATTTGTTTACTTCTTACACAAACATAGCCTGGTTCATTGTATTTATTTCATGTCAGATTTGAAAATTGTACACTAGAATTGAATTTTTCCTATGGGGCTTAGTATACCTGTTGGGATTTTCTTTCAGTCATTCTCCATTTTGTGTACTTAAATTGACAAAACTCAATATTGCCTTCTCTAAAGACAAAAATACGAGACAGCAAAGTAGTATCACGGTGTGTTTTTTGAGCTAGAGTTTGGGTTTTTATTGAATGCTTAGGAACATCAAAGACAAAAGCTGAATGTCCAATTTTTATCTTTACATGCTTTTTTAATTAGACAGATCTGGCATTGAGGTATTATTTTTCTTCTTTTATCATTGACATTGTTGGTTTCATGATTGCTTGGGTGAAAGTTGGAAAAAACTTCAAAACAAAGTTTTTAAAGTATTTCTTAATTTTTAAATTATTTATTTTAAAAATTTAATTTTTTTCCAGAACTCCCAGAGACCAGCTTTACACGTTCCATATCAAACCCGGAGGCTGTGATGAGGAGACGAAGGCAGCAGAAACTGGAGCGCAAGCTTCAGCAATTCAGGAGTAAAGACGGCGGTCCTGACACAGGTGGCACTCTGAAAATATATGGCGAAGCACTATGTCGAGATGTACCGTACAAGACCCTGCTCCTTTCCATCGGTGACACGGCAGCGCAAGTCGTTAAAGAAATGCTCTTGAAATATGGCCTTGATAAAGAAGAACCATTACATTACTGTCTAGTACAGGTAAATTCACACAAAAACATATAATTAAGGATTTTACTCAACTATGTGTTTTTCAGGTGAATACAGCGATTGAAGAAACAAAAGACAACACTCCCGGCAACAACAACACGATCAACAACAGGGAATACATTCTTGACGACGATGAGTGCCCTCTTGCCATTCTCATGAACCACCCCATGTCCAGAGGTAAGTGTATTTAAAACTTTCTTTCTCCTCAAAATTATATTTAACCCTAATAAAAACTGACAAATATAATTTTTGTCTCAATCTTGAAACAATGAAAACTTTAGATGTAATTTTTTTCTTTTCATTCATCCATTTGGAATGGCAACATCGCTCCGACCACAGCCAGGTAACAAGATAGGTTGATGGCCATTTCTTGTACTTGTCACAGCGGCCATTTCTTGTACTTGTCACAGCTAACAGCACATTTGATTTTTTTGCTTGAATAGATTGCTTTGATGACTTTTCTAATTTTTATTATATATTGGAAAATTCAGTATAACAAGAGTTTTCATTTTTGATGTCTTTCAGTGGCTACACTGGGTGTTAAGTTAATTAGTACAACTATTGTGGAGGCTTCGAAACAATAATTCAATTTTAAGTATTAACAGTGTTGAATTTTAATTCAATTGAACTTTAATAGATATGAAACAACAAAGTTTGCTCCTTCTTAAATTAAAAAAAAAGTTTTCAAAGCAATAATAGAAATGATTTACTACCTTTCCCAAAACGTTTCAAAGCATTCATTATTAAATTATTACATAATGATACACTCCTTTTTTAACCTGTCTGAATTGAGTGTTCTATTCCATACTTACTTATTAAGAGAAGCAAAGAACAGATCACAGGCAAATCCAAGTGTAAATTCTTTATAAATAGTATTGGCTGATGAGGGAGTTGTGTTGTTTTTTTAATTTAATAAAATAAAGGATTTATTATTTATTAGGCTAAAGTTTCGTAGATCAAATTCTATAACAATATTTACAATATTATTTGAAAAATGGCAAAAGGAGGGAAAACTCATAAGGTGGGGTTGAGATGGGGAGTTGATGTCCGAGTGGATCGAGGTCACGATAGCTCAGGTGGTAGAGCAGCGGCGTATCAAGCCGAAGGTCATGGGTTCGAATCCCTCTCGTGCCATTACCTTTTTTTCATCTCAACTAAAAACCTTAATTAATTGTAATATTTACATTTATGAAATCGGAATTAGTTTTTATGGACACTAAAAAGGTACAATTTTTCTAGTTAATTTTTTATCTAACACATTAAAAAAAAGAAGATTTTATTGGTTTTTAACCATATATATGTAAAAATAGGTTATTTTTGTTGTAGTGTTGTATGTTAGATAAGTTCATAGCTTTACTGTTCACTGCATGATTTATTTGGAATGCACAGTTAAAAAAAATATCGATAGCTTTTATTCATTTTTTTAAGCATTAAGAATGGGTAAAATAAAAATATTATTTGTTATTAGTTTAATTATGTATTATTAAGTAAAAAGCTGGAGGGGGGCGGTAGCTGAGTAGTTAGCATGTCAGATCTCTCACCACACCTGGAATTTTCTGATCGCTCCTCTCCTTCCCCATAGAATATCATGATAATGGATCATCAGTCCACTTACTTCTCTGATAGATTCTCAAATTTCTAATCTCTAGTAATTTGTAATAAATTTCCAATCTATTCAGCCTATTCTTTTTCCCTAGCTAAGAACTTTAGTAAGTTGTTTATATTGTTAAAACATCTGGCTTTCACCAAGAATGAACTGAAAGTACCAATTAGCAGATTTTTAATGCTTATATTGCAACTAACAAAAAAAAAAAAAAAAAATTGGTTACTTGATTAGTTGATTGGATTGATTAGTTATTAGTTGACTAAGTTGATTAGTCGATTGTGACCAGCATAAATAAAATATCTGAGATAATTTACTTATTTTACTAATTACTTTACTACTTTAATTTTGTCTGCTTGACATAAATTTAATTCGTATTTTTAAAATGCATAAAAAGTCATGATTGTAAAAATTTCACAAACACTGTACATGGTCAACTCCTGTCTGAATGCACTTAATAGACCTGAATCATCAGCGGTGGTGAAGTAGGTTCATCACCATGTTCACAACAAATTATTCTTCTGCCAAATTAAATTTTTTTTGTTGTATAACCAAAACATATTCTTCATTCTGTCCGTTTAATATAAATTTTTTTTCTGCATTTTTGTACGGAGAAACAGTTATTAGTCCTTCTTTTTGAGATTAAGTTGGACCAGCTTTAATCCAAGTATGTTCTGACCTTATATATATATATTGGGTTGTTTATTGGACTGGGTAGTGTTATCTGTTGATGTTATCTGAATGCCTGACACTCAAAGAATTTTGTTTTCTATTTATAATTCACCCTATAAATTAGTTAGTATAAAAACATCAAGCAATTTACAGAAAATGTTCGATCGTTGAAAATGAGTTAGCGGTAAAATTAAAGCGTTCATCTCTATGAGGATGCAATTTGCGGAACAAGGTCAGAACGTACTTGGATTAAAGCTGGTCCCACTTAATCTCAAAAAGGACTAATGAACTGTTTCTCCGCACAAAAATGCAGAAAAAAAATTTAGACTAAACGGACAGAATGAAGAATATGTTTTGGTTACACTACAAAAAAAAAATTAATTTGTCAGAAGAATAATTGTTGATGAACCACCTACTTCACCACCGCTGATGATTCAGGTCTATTAAGTGTATTCAGACAGGAGTTGAATATATAAAGGATTTTTTTCTTTCTGTGTGGTGTTCTGTTAAGTAAGGATAGTCTCAGAAATGGCTTTGTGTCAGGAAAACAGGGAAGAAAAGGAGAAACGTAAGAAGTCTTCAATTTCTTTTAAAATAATTCTTAAATTATAAAAAGTAGGACTGTTGAATATAGTTAACCATTAAAAAAAGGAACATAAAAATCTACTTGAATGAACGTGAACCTGAATTATTTGGTATTTTACATAGCAAAATCCGACTATTTAAAATAAAAAGGTTTATTACTTGGGCCGGTTAACAACAAACTGGACATTTGCTTTGCTAAGCAAACAAACCATTACTATTTATTTACACACGATTAGGACTTTGTTTTAGAATCACAACCCTAATCCTAAGTAACTATTAGAAGGGTTGATAACATTCATTAAACTCTCGACTCGACACGCAAGAATGGTACAGTTACACAGAAGACAAACACTTTGAGCACTGAAGATGATCTCAATAAAGATCGAAACGTTGGCACTATAAAGAAAATGTTTTTCTGAAACCTACATCACACCAGACCGCATCTCACGATTTCTATATAAACATTCTATTAAATTTGGCATGGTTGCTTCTTCTCTACACTATGCATTTGTACAGACACATCAAAAGACAATTTGGCTCCACCACATGTGATAAATTGATATTATATTCAAACTACTGAAAAACTGGATCCCATATTTTAAACAATATAAAAATATTGTATGAGTTGATTGAGAAAGATTGTCCAATTTTAATATAAAGAGATTTTTAGAATTAAAAAAAATCACAACCTTATTCCTAAGTAACTATTAAATAATTGAGTTAAAATCGGTTAAAACCACAAAATTACCGTGTTTTATTTTGCTGGGTTAAATAATTATATTTATAATTTTCAAGTGTTTTTTTATTTTAACAACAACAAAAATGTCATCCCGATTAAACTTGAATTACATAATTTAATCCTTATCCTTTTATTTTATTTTTGTAAGATAGTTCCTACTTACAATATGTGAGTATACTTATGTTGTTACTTGAGTTACAATTCTTATTGTGTGTAGTAGTAGGAAAAAAAACGCACTCAATTCACCATTTCTATTACATAATTTATCTTTTGAGAAAAATTAAGCACATACATTTTTGATTACAATCTATGAAAATATAACTACATTTGTAGATATTGCTAAAAATGGTTCAGCAAAACATAGGCGATTTAATGTAATTTGTTTTTCTAAATTATCTAACTTATGTGCCATTACAGATATAATAAATTTAAAACGAACAATCATAGAGCACTAAACATATAAACTTGAGCACGATATTCCATATAATCAAATATTCCTTCCTCAAACTTGTACAAAATGTCTTTAAAAGAACAAAATTTGTTTCAAGAAGAAAACGTACAAAACAAAACACAAATCGACAACTTTTATTTAACATTAACACCAAGGAAGTTTATATAACTGTACCGATGTCGTCAAAATTACACAATCGCGAAGTCAGATTTGTTAAAAGTTAACCCACTTATTAAAATATAACGTTTAATAAATTATTTGTAAGGACTTCATTAATTGCTTTCCAACGGGACCGAATTGACGATAATTAACATCCAGGGGAAAAAAAGCACCAAGCATGTAAACTTGAGCAAAGGTACTTCAACAAATCGGATAAACGGGAGCATTTCGACTCTATTCAATGAAAACATGCCTGTAAAAACGGGGAACATATAATTTGGAGTAAACATTCCTAACCAAACAATGTATATATGAAAGAAACACAAATACAATGTGGTATGCTTAGGACCTACAAACTGCTGAGGTTATCGTCGGCTTTCTGCATGGTTGTACTACTTTTCCTGGTCTTTCACAATGTTTTTCTCCCATCCTGAAGCCATTTAAGCATTTTCATCTATTACTAACTCTCTGCTTTTATATGAAAACTAAGTCGATATCCGAAAACGGCTCTTCTCATTATACCTTAACAACTACAGAATGGACTCAAAATATACAATAATATTTGTACATCATCACACATATAGTCTTGATCACAATCACACCCCTAGAGTACTCGATATTTCTCGGGGCGTGGTTGAACACTTCCATTGTCGCTAATAACTTATTTTTATTCTCCAGACGTACACTACCCCAGATTACACGAGATTGGTACATGGTTAAAAAAAACTTTCACGCTAATGAATTACATTCATTTCATTAAATTAACATAAAAACAACAGAGGCACAATACAAATTTCTATTTTCAAAATCTCACTGGCACTCTCAACACGACACGCAAGGATGGCACAATTACACAGAAGACAAACACTTTGAGCCCTGAAGATGATCTCAATAAAAGATCGAAACGTTGGCACGATAAAGAAAATGTTTTTCTGAAACCTACATCACACCCGACCGCATCTCACGATATCTGAATAAATATATAAAAAAGCAAATTCAATTTTCCTGTGATAAGAACGAACAGTGTATGAAAAAAAGATAACATGGAGGTTGTGATGATTAATAAAATGATGGAGAAGTATAATATTGTTTAATTATAGTTGGAGATATAAAATACGAGGGGGTGCTGATCAGTGTGTCATGTCTCAGTTAATTGACTTTACTCGCATAAGTAAGATTGGTCAGTGCTGACTGGAGGTAGTCACATAAATAGTTATTAGAATTTGTTAACTGTAACGTTCTATTAAAATTTTAAGTGTTATTGTTGTCATATTTTTGTTCGATAAACACAATACATACAGTTTTCACTCTTTTTCTGGGCCATTTTCTCCCTTTTGGAACTCGAATTGCCTGGCGATAGGCCGATTGTAATTAAGAAAGTTATTAAGTAGAGGAAAACGAACTTTGCAAAAGCTATTATTCAAAAGCATGTGTTCGTTTGAATAATATAATCCATTTTAACCCAAATCTCATTTCTCAAATCAAGCTTATTTCATTACAACAGCAAAGCTTGTCATAATCGGTTGAAATATTAAATGGATATCATGGAGATGAATTTCTTAAAAATTAACAAACCCTTTACAAAAATATACGGTTAATTGAAATCATAAAGAATCAAATTTATGGGCAGAATACTTTATTAGTTAATAAAAATCAACCGTAAAAAAATAACAATTGCGAATAAAATTGAGTTAAGTATTTCAGCTAACCAGAAAACCCTTAAGACGTTTCCGACTCCATTTTGCAAAAACGGCTTTTCAGTAAGATAAAATTTCTTCAAAATTAAACAATGTTGTAAGCAAAATCTAACTCGAAAGTGGAATTAAGTAATCAGGTTTATAAACTTGTTAATTATTTTGATAGCTAAACAAAATCCAAAACCAAGGGAGAAAAACTGAGAGCGTATAGTTCACGGGTTTTCAGCTAATCTGTCAACTTTTCGAAACTAGTTATTGTTGGTTTTACTTGCACGCTTTTGCTATCTGTGTTATAGGTATAAAGTAGTGTAGTGGTTTCATAGTTGGAAAGGTGAAGAAAAACGTGGTTGTAGTGTTAACATGAAAATGAAAGAATTTAAGGTTATATATTTTTGACCAAAAATCAGTAAGTACAAAAGTGTGTCTTGTTGTTATATTATATGTTAAATTGGCCAAAATTAAAAATGTATAATATATCCCTTTGTAGAGCACTGAAGAAGGTACAATAAAGTGTCGAAAGCTAGGCGAAGATTTAAAATTATATATATGTTTCATCGACCACATCCCTGATAACGACTAAGAGATCATTATCTGCCTAAGTAGGTCCATAATTCTACAAAACATATAATTATAATGATACGTACCCTTCTTCCGTCGGGAGGCATATCGATTGTGGTAGGGTATGGTCGTTGGTGAGGTGTGTCCCACCCACTGACTCCGGCCCTGTTGGTACTACTGTAAACGAGAGCGCGAGAGCTTCTCAAACCAAGTCCGACCTTGCCGGAGGCAGCACGCATCCCACCATGATGGACTGGGGTATTAGACGTATGTATTTTCATAATTGTCCGATTGTTTGTAAACATTAGTTTGACGATTTTGATTAAAAGACGGCGATCCATGTTCAATGGCGTGTTCCTCACTTTTAAACTAAATTATCTGTTTTGTTAAACTTTTTGGCTATTTTGGTATTTGTTAATGTTTGCTTCTCCTATTTTCCTCCTAATAAAAACAAAAAAGGTTCATCCTGTCCTATAAAATATGGAAAATACCACATAAAAACGTGCGTAGTTCATGAACCTCCCCACTTTTATCATGAGAACTTCATATCGTACTCATGCTCGGACGTAGATGTAAGGAAGTTAAGCTTAACAATTATTTTAAAAAAATACTAATAACTTTATTTTTGTTAATATCGAGAATCTAGTGTTGTTTTGCTCGCTTTTTGAACTTAGACACAAGTAAAAACCATGAACCGACAAAGTACAAGTTGAATTTAAGCTAAATTAATGCTCGTCAGAGCTTCTTTTAAGTTCGCAGTCAACAGAAACGTTCTACCAGCACCAACTGATACTTTCATAGATTTAAGAAAACCTTATGCATATTAGTTAGTATACATTTTCTTTTATATTTTGTTTTCTTTAATACAACTTTTTTATTGTCTATTGTGTTGGACATTATACATTCTGAAGATTTGATTAGAATCGATCTGTAGGAGTGGCAAAGACAAGGCCAGTGTCACATTCTTTTTCATGGCTGAAAGATTCTCATTGATCAATTTTCAAATCGCTGCAACGATAAAATTATCTCTGCAGGTTTTGTCAAAATAAATTTAAAAAAACAAAAAACAATATACTTATTGTATTGTTCAAATATATATGCATGTTTTGCAAGTTATAGTTAGGAGTTTTCAATCATACTTCTAATCTTTTAGTGTTTCTACATTGTTCGATGCATTTATTATTTCCGGCTTTGTCATTTTATTATGGAGGAATAAGTGCATATTTATTTATGTTGGTTGAACATTTACGATGTTTCTGTCTCTCTGTCTGTCGCTCTCTCTCTCTCTCTCTCTCTCTCTCTCTCTCTCTCTCTCTCTCTCTCTCTCTCTCTCTCTCTCTCTCTTTCTCTCTTTCTCTTTCTCTTCCCTCTCCTTATTTTATATCTATCATCTCGTACTAATCTACTTTATCTACTCTATCTGGGTTCTCTATCTGTCCATATTTTCCTTCTTTCATTTGTCAGTATGACATTACCTCTATCCCTTCAATATCTTTCCCTCTACTTCTCCATCTCCCTTTTCCTCGGTTATCTCTGCATATCTCTATTTTCTTCCCACCCTTCCATCTTTCAATGTTATTTCTATCTCTTCTTTCTCTATCGGTCTCTCCATCTCCATTTTCCTCTCTCTAATCTATCTCTATTTCCTTTTTCTGTTTTATCTATCTGTCTATTCTTCTCTACCTTGTTCCATTTCTCTCTCTCTCTCTCTCTCTCTCTCTCTTCCCTCTCCTTATTTTATATCTATCATCTCTTAGTAATCTACTTTATCTACTCTATCTGCCTTCTCTATCTGTCCGTATTTTCCTTCTTTCATTTGTCAGTATGACATTACCTCTATCTCGTCAATCTCTTTCACTCTACTTCTCCATCTCCCGTTTCCTCGGTTATCTCTATATTCTTCCCACCCTTCATCTTTCAATCTTACTTCTATCTCTTCTTTCGCTATCTGTCTCTTCTCTCCCTAGTTCATCTCTCAGTATCTATCTCTACCTTTATCTCTCTCCCACTTTCCACACACACACACACACACACACACACACACACACACACACACACACACACACGCACGCACGCACGCACACACATTCTCACACTCACACACACACAGAGACACAGACACACACACACAATTTCCTATTGATAGTTAGGCATATTGGATTTTTGATCGCAAAATTAAATATTATATTCGACAATTTACTTTAAGAACATCAAATTAAAACATTACTGAGACATATATTTTTGTAGTTCTCATGAAAATTATGTACCATTTTCTCATTCTAGCCACTTTCTGATCATTGTTACTGTAACTTCATAATGCAGTAATTTTTATTTCTAAAACTCTAAGGGGTGGCTATATTATTTGATAATTTCGTTCCATTATACTTTTGACATTGAAAATAGTAATTTGTATGTCTGGGCGAGTTCCAAGATAACAATTTCGTTAATTAATTCGTTAAATGCCACGAGGGAAATGCAAGCTAATTAATCACGGAAGAAGTCTATTTGTGGACTGTTTTATCGCGAAATAAAACGTTTTAAGGGATTGTTTTAGCCATTATCGTTTTGACGATTCATTTAGTGCTCTTTCCTTGTTTCACTGGCATAAGCGGCGCGAAATTATTATGATCAGTCTTTCTTGCATTAATCTGATCAATACCAATTAATCCTTACTTACCACCTAATATTTATAGTTGATTTAAACCTTTTCTTGTGTAGTTTTAATATTTTTATTGAGAGCTGAGAGTAAGTTTTGTTTTTTATTTTTATTGTCTCAGTAACGACGATTTGTGCTTACATAGTCTGCTGTTCTCTCCTTTCAGACCCTTTTGACTTTGACGTGCTGAATTATTCCGTCTCTTAAGCAAGAACCCCGGCTCTGCCAGGCCGGATGGATCAATTCCTACCGAGTTTTACCATAGCGGAATCGTAAAACGAGGCCACTCCAATAATTCCAAACAGACGACGTTAGAAGTCGTTTCCACCAGTTTACCTGGTATCGCATTTCCTTGGGTCTATCCGATCTTATTTCCTTTGGAAATATTCAAACGGGCTCTATCCAATTGATAAAAATTAAATAACTCTATTTTTCCCAAAACGGCGTGGATCTACAGTTTTAAAAGACACCCATGTTTTGCGGGTTTAGAATAAACTTGTTTACATTCCCATATTTTATCAATAGACCGAGAATTACACTGAAAGCCTGGGTGCGTCAGTACAACTTTAGAGAAATGTAATTTAATATCGCCAAGTACGCATCAATCAACGTCATTGATAACCGGAAAATACAACAGTGTTCCCTTACAACATTAACATAAATGAATAGCAGTAGTTAAACTTCAAAATTAAATATAGAACGTGATGTTATTATTTAGTAGGCTAGGGTATAAAAAAAAGCCAAGCTGTAAAGTTGACTACGTTGGGGACTTTAGTGAATTTTTCTCTATTTTGTATGGGTCAAAGTGCTTTTTTTTTAATTATTGAAAGCAGTATTGAAGATTATGACTACTATGTTTTACAATTTTTAATGCCAATAAAAAAACTTTCCTAGAAAGCTTAGTTTAATTTTATATAAATAAATTGAAGAGCTTAGTGATTCTTTTTGTTTTAATCTTCAAATTAAGCCCCAATCCCAATAGAATAATTGATTGCATTGTTTAATTTTGTAAAATTGAACTGTAAATAGAAATAAAAGCCATCCCACGTTTAGGGCCGAGCCCTGTTGATAACCGACAATTGCGTGGCCGACGAGTCTATTTCTGTCAAGTTGTTCAGGGCGCCCTGCCTTATCCCCAGGCGTACTTCCTTCGAAAAAGTTAAGTAATACAAATGGCTTTATAAATACGGGAAGGGCCCTTCTCAGTTCGCGGCCTGTGCCATCGAGGATGGGCGGACACGAAAAATTATTCCGGCATTGTTCGCCTCCTGTGAACCGGAAATTGTGCGTCTGAATGTTTTCATTTCGATTCAGCCTCGACCTATCCATTGCACAATTGATCCGGGGGGGAGGGTCATAGATATAAAGTATTTTTCTTATTTGAGCTTTGAAACTCAAAACCAAAATTTTCACCGTGAACCTTATGAAAGTCAGCAAGGAAGACTTTTGGTACAATCGGTGGAATCAATCATCTGATTGTCTTTTATTTCAATTAGCCCCACCCTAATCGATCATTCCGGCCAACTTTATCGATATGAGTTCAGACTTGAAACTCCATCAATAAAATATGGTACTTACGATATCCAGGTAATTGGGTCTTGTATAACGGCTTTTGTTGTGCAATTAAAACACTGATACGGTCGGCTTGGCAAGTAAGTAGAAACACAAAGTAGAAGGGATATGTGGAACACTCAAAAGGAGAAATTAGCCGTGTACATTTGGAAAAACAAATTTTTTTCTTCCTATTATAGATATACATCGTCCTTGGAAAAGTGGGCGCGACGGTTAAATTTCTCCAGTGTAAATATTCCAAGTTGCGTGTAAATGTTGATGGGTTGGGCAGGATAAATGGGGAAACAATGTAGCTTTTCTAACTATAAAATTCACCCAGGGGCGGACAAGGCTGCGGGATTTGTAAACAGCTAAACTGTGCAGCCTCGGCAAGGAACTTCATTATTAAATAAGTCGCCGAGGAGAAGTTCAGTCATTTGATTTACAAATTGACCGGTTAAACAATCCCTTTATAATCAAGTAAAGCGTATCCGAGATTTTCAACGCAATGGCCGAAACAAAAATGTTTGTGGTTCTAAAAGAACAATAAGACTTACACCTCAAATAGACTGCTATCTATTTTTGAAGCTCGGTTTACTCAAGCATTTTTAAAACCAGATATAATTTATTATTTACTTTTCTAAAGGATTCTTCAGTTTGGTTAATTTTTTGTAAACAAAAGACAACAAACAAGGCAGGAAAATTTGAATATACTAAGTTCAACCTACTTACCAGTTCAATATGTTTCGTAATAGAGCAATTTCGTAGATTCAAGCAGATGTTTAAAAATACCACGTAATAAAGTAATAAACTGAGAACTTCGGAAAAAAACAGGCAAATGAAAAACACCTAGGCTGCAGGAGTTAATTAATTACAAGAGACTAAATATGTAACAGATAATTCATAACAAGACTAACGACAACAAATAAAATAAGAAAACTTCTCAGGCGAATATTGTCAAGA